TTTCGTTCGACTGGGGCCCCGGAGAACTTGTGACAACCGACCGGATGTTTCCGTACTTGCTGTTGAGAAGACGGAGCGTCATTCCGCTCTCTTCCTGTCAGCGTTGATGCTCTGCTTGCCCAGGTAGGCAGGTTACGGAAGCAGGACACGGAAGACTGGTCCCGACGGATGCGTCCTTGTCTTGGCGATGAGGCAGAGCATTAGCAGCCAGCGCAGATCACCACTCTTCATGTCCAGCCCAGCCCAACCTAGGTCCTGCAAGTTGGCATCACCCGCATCTTCATCAAAGTCGCCGAGCTTTTTGTTCTTGTCAAATGGACTGTCATGTAGGCCCGACCAACCGATGGGCGCCGGTTCCGCGTTCTGGCAACCCCCCCTGTCAACCTCTCCAAACTTCCCAGGTTTGATAGACCAATCGCGCGTCGAGCGAATCGAGAACGTCTCCAATCTATCCGCAACTGTCCTCTCACAACTCCAGCTCCTTCGACACGAAACACTTTACCTCTTTGCATTTCAAACGTCATGCTCGACGAGACACTTGACGTCGGCTCGGTTCGGCTCGTCCCCCTTTCTGCACTCTTTTGAGACCTCTCACTCACTCGCGCATCTGAACCTGTCAGCTAAACACGCGCCCCCTGACGCCGTCCTTTGAGCCATGGCAACGCCGAGGGGTGCACCCGTCATCCATCATCTCGACTCCCGCCGTTCATTCATTCCCATCGGCTAGTCGCCCCGGCGATCGCTCTCCCTCTTGCTCACCGCTCTCCACGTCCTTGATCGTGCTCCCCACGTTTCCTCGTTATTTCTTTTTCCTATGTCTCGCTCACAAGCCACAGCAGCCATCCCTTCCACTTCTCCGGGAGTCCGGGGGTGTAATTGGAGTCCTGAAATGCTCACGAGGGAGATGGGAGAAAAAGCAAAGACGCGGTTTTGTCGTCTTCACGCCCCCACCGCGGCCGCGTGCCCGCACTTCACGCAAGGATAGGTTTCCCAAGACTCACTCTGTCGGTCCCGAGGCATGGAATCGCGCGCTATCCCGGCTGAACACGCCAATGGCGTTCCCATCCCTTGGTAACGATCGGTACAGCTCGTGAACTAGTCGGCGATGTTGATCCTCCAAGTGGAACATGGCGAACAAACATGACAAGTCGCTTTCCTTATCTGCACGGTGGATCGTCTTCGCAGGACTCAACCTTGTTTTTAAAAGCCTTGGGGGTCTTGCTTGGTGTCGCGCATTGCTTGTTCGCGTTGTCGTCTCTTCCCTCCACGGCGATCTCTTGGACCCCCAGCTGAAGCTGGCTATCGCGGTTCCAGCGGAGAGGAACTTGGTATGCCACCCTTGTCCAAAACTTATGACACGTCGTTCAGCAGTCTTGAAGAGCCGGAGAGTTCCAGATCATCGACGATGCAGCTGCAAGCTGAGGCCGCCAGTGACATGCGTCTCATCAAACTACGTAAAGTGTGATGCGGGTGCCGAATATCGCAATGTCATGGCTTTGTTCTCTCAAGCCTCATCCCACTACAGGCTCATATCAGCTTCCCCTTTGAGGTTCCGCTTTGGCCTCACAAGGGAATCCGCAGAAGAAAGCAATCGAGAGCCCTCGTATACGAGGCTGGGCTGGTCTTGCTGAGCTGAGAGATCGGCTTAAGGGACGTACTAGACCCTCGGCAGTTCCTCACTTTGCTATACATCACATCAAGGGGTTGATGGCCGCGATTCCAGAGCGAAGAGGTCTTACATGTTGGCAGAGTGATGCGGGTAGTGTCTTGGGAAAACATCCGTGCGCTTGTGAACTGCTCGCTTCCTTGACATCGTAGCTGAGCTCGTCGTGTGACTTGTTGACTTGAATGTCTTCTGACAGTCTCCTTGTGCTGGTTGGACTCTGGTGGACTTGCTTATGTGGCATCTCCCATTCCTTCTATCCCTCTCCATACTTCATGCTGCAGGGGGCAGCTGAAGTCTGTCCTCGGGTAAAATGGATCTTCTGGGCTGCCTGGATTCGTGCGCAGGGCGATAATTGCTGCTGCGAAAATTGCAACCCTACTGGTTACACAGAGTCGCTCGATCTTGAACTCTCAAGGAGTAATGGCGGGCCTCAAACAACAAGCCGAGGGTAGACCGATGGTTCAACATTGATCTGGACATGGTCTCAGATCCTGAACCTACCTGGAACCGACAGGGTAAACTTGACCCAGGCCACACAGTGGTGCCATGAAGCAGGGAGAAAAGCCCATTAACAGTTTGGTGGAGGCGACAATGATACAGTCTCGACAACTTTGTGAGATTGCTCAACCAAGAAAACTCTACTGTGGACGTAACTTCTGACTGCATAGATCGGTGCCTGCAAAAATCCATATATCGTGGCAGGCAGAACATGCAACTCGGAGGTCATCATAATCAGCCCTACCAGGCACTATCGCCAGCGGCATTGGTCGGATGTAACGTTGGTTGTCGATTAAGGTAAAGACGGCGCCAAACTGCCTAAACTATGCCAATGTTAGCTCGAATTCTTGTTCAAACTGCTGATGGCCTTGATTTGAGGTGTTTGGCATTTACCCGTCCAGCCGTCTTTGGGTCTATGCCCGTTCCTGATGCCAGTCAGACTGCTGCCTTTGGCTGGCGCCATTCCAGAGGGACCCATCCACATGGTCAGCTCTGACTGTCAGAGAGTGGGTGGTGATTGAAAACATGACGGATACTGTAGGCCAATACAGTGTAGTCGAATGTTGCAAAGTGTCTCTGGGTCGAATTTGGAAATGTCCGTGTAAAGATAACAAAGGTGCAAACGAAAGCACTTGCCCGTGTCCGATAACACGCCGAGCCTCAGATTGGCCACCTCCCCGGAAAGTCCTGTTGATCCGTGTGTCGGGTCCCGGCAGTTGAATGGTTTCCATTAATGCCGGTCGCCGATGAGTGTGGGTGGGCTCGCTCGCCCGGGTAGAGTGCAACACCGTACGATATGACCTTGAGGCCGCCCGCGAGGGAAGAGGCTCCTAAGAAAGAACCTGATGTTGGTTGATACTACATCTGTAACTACTTCCATCGTAGTTAAATGTGGACACAAATCTGGAAAAATGATGATCAATGTGCGAACCGCCGACTCAGTTGTTGACACGCTCAAGCTGCAGGCTTGTCCGTGGCAAAGCACCATCCAGCCAGGCTCATGTCGCAAGCCGCCGCCTCACTCTCGTCAGGCTGTTTCTTACAGGTCGACTTCAAGCTGAGGCCTCTGTGGGCCTGGGGACCCTGGTTCATGCCTCTGGCCAGGCTCTTCAACAGAGAGGTCAAGTCCGGACTTGGACCCCCTTGAGGCCTGAGATATCCGGCCTCGAACCACTCCCGAACCCGAAAGGCGATGTGTTTGTCAAGAAAGGCTCAAGTTTCCGTCCTGTAGCACCTCACCATCTTTGTTCTCTCCGAGACCATCTATGTCCTACAACAAGCGTCGTCACGGACATGTGTGCTCGTCCGTTTGAGGCCCCACCGTGGGAATCGCAGGGCGAACCAACTCTCCACCACATCGCTGATTCCCAGCCCCAGATGGCGGACTCAGTGGGCTTCTTAGCGGCTCACGGCTGCTCTCAGTGGCTGGTTTCTGGCCCCCAGCGGACTCTATCACCCCAGCCGGCCCCGCGGGATGCGCCTCGGCGGCGACTGGCCTGTGCTCACCAAATCGATTGGAGGCGGAGTCATGATACCGGTTCAGCCTTGTCAGATAGACAAGACGATAGTCGATATGGGAAGGGAGCCTTGGGGGATGGCTGGAGTCTGGACGACATGTCAGTGTTGGAGGTCATTGAGAAGGCTGGGCTGCTGGATAACCTTCCCGAGACAAAGATTCCAAGTCGACAAGAAACGCGAGAGGTATCAACAAATAAGTAGAGCGAAAAGCAAGTAGCCACGCAACGTCTCGTCGTTAAAGGTAGAAACCGTGCCAGCGGAGCGTTGCGCATGAATGGTGAGCCCGTCTCTTTGAATCTCACGCGGCCAGCCAGGCAGCAGCCAATAGAAGTCCCGGATTCACCTCAGAGGCGCCCCAACTCACCCAATGCGCCATTGTCCCGTGGCAGTGCATGAGGGACAAGGGGATATGTACAGTACCAACGGGCACGATGTGGATGTGGAGAGGCTGGCAGTCACTTTGTTGCTGTTGTTGAACAACCAGGCTGTCCGGATGACTCCCAGCTTTATTAGTACTTGCCAGGTTGAAGGCCGATCCAGGGTCGAGGTACAAATGCGGCTGCAGATGTACCACATAGAGGCTATCTGTTGGCAGGGCGTTTCAGGTATCTCGAACCAAGCTCCAAGTACCTACCCTTGTGAAGCCGTCAGACCCCGTCTTACCTTTCTGTACATCCACCTGTGTGCGCCATGGAGAGGTAGCAGGTCGCAGGTCGCAGGTAAGGCAGGCAGGCAGGTGCATGCGGCGTCGGAGACCACACGGAGCCATTGGCTGCCTGGAAAGTGAACTTCAAACAACCTTGGAGGTCCCTTCAAAAAGACCGTCTCCCTGTTGCCTCAGGGCGTCCCGCACTTCTTCTCTCCTTTCCCTCTTCTTACTTACCTTGCACTTCCATCCAGCAAGCATCACCTTTGAGACTCTGGCCGTTGTATCGATTGCCTGCCTATCGCCGTCCCAACAAGCCTTCTCCCACCGTTCTTGTCCCAATCCGGCCCCCTCGGTGTCTCTTGTACCTCTGTCGCCTCATCCTCGTCCTTGTCGCACGCGATCTCGGCTCTCCTCTACGTTCCGTTGTCTGTCTTATCCGCCATTCCATCCTCCAACCTCCACCTCTCCAGCTGCCTTCTCCCCACCCCCGCTCCGGCTTCCGCACCCGCCGCAACCGCCCCGTGTCGTCGCCTCAACAATCTTTCGTGCTCCCTTGATTTCCCGGCTATTGCTGCTTGCGTGCTTCGTTCTGCTAGTTAGCCGGCTCTTTCGAGCTCGAAACTTGCATATTGTAGCTTTATGTCAGAGCAAGCCAACCCCAATGCAATGATGGAGTTTGAATCTGCAGACCCAAGCTTCTCGGTCAGTTGGCTGCTCGGCCTACAGCCTTATCAGCATAAATCCACAAGCCCGTCCTGGGCGAAGCAGTACCAAACAGATGACCCCCATTTTCTCGTGAGCCGTCTTCTTGGCCTCATTCCCAGTCGCAAACCCCGCCGATCCAGAAAGCGGCGCAATCGCTCCAAGACTGTAAATCAATCCGCGGAGCCCACTCCAGAGGAAAGTGAGGAAAGTGACGACGAAGATGTGGACGCCTTTGGCATTGGAAAATTGTTTGGCGATGTTCCATACGATACTGCCGATGAAAGCGAGTCCGAATCGGAGGACAAGCCCGCAGAGGAGGAGACAGAACCTCCTATCTTGGCAGAGCCAGGTTTCCTGGACCTCTGCAGACAGATGGAGGAGCTCCTCGAAGAGATTGAGTAAGCCGGCGGCGAAACAGAAACTGCTTCAAGAATTTGTAACTGACTGTTCCCAAGGAAATCACAGCAACAAGAACTAGACGACGCCGACAACGAATCCATAGACGGCCTCGACCCCGAGCAGTGCGAAGATGAGTCGCCTTCACGACTTGAGTGGTTGCGACAGAAGGAGGTGGAAAAGGCCGAAAACAAGTATCTCGACCGACTTATGTCCTTGCCCGGCCTCGAAGATACCAAAGCCTTCTTCCTGCACGCAAAGGCCAAGGTCCAGGCCTCACAGAGGCGCGAAACCGACTTCAAGAAGGAGAACTTTGATGCTGTCTTCATGGGCAACGAAGGAACCGGCAAGACGATGCTCGCCCGCCTCTATGCCAAGTTCCTTGCTTCTCTTGGTGTTGTCAAGAAGGCAGGGTCAATCACTGGCATCAACCGATTCTCCGCCTACAGCATGTCCAAGACGTCAACTCTCAGCACCATTCACAGCACATGCAATGCGTGCGGCGGCTGTGTAAGCCAATTTCCCTTCCCACCCAAACCATGAAATACTGACTCAATTAGATTGCCATCATTGACCACGCTCATCTCATGGATAATGATGACTGCAACCTGTGGAACTTCTACGTTAGGTCACAAGATCTCCCTGGAAAGGTCGTCATTATCCTCGCTGGCAACGGACAATGGGGACTGTCGGACCAGCTGGGCTACAGTGCTGAGGTCTCAAATCACTTCCCTGTGCTGAAGCTGCCAAACTACACCCAGGAAGAACTCCAGGTCGTCTTCCACGGAATGATGCGCAAGTGGTTCAAGAACAAGATGGAGGTCGAAGGAGGATACGACGGCCTCTTTGTCAAGATTCTGATCCGCAGAATCACCCAAGGCATGAATGAGAAGACATTTGGCAACATTTGGCCTGTCAGAAAGGCATTCCTCGAAGCTTGCAGACGGCAGGTTGAACGCTTCCGCCAAGCTAGAAGGGACGGAAACTACCTGGAAGACTTCAAGATGACCAAAGAAGACCTTCTCGGTAACAAGCCTTCACTTGGTCCCGACAAGAGTCCTGCCTGGAAGGAGCTGCAGGAGCTTGTCGGACTGGATACCGTCAAGGAGGCCATCCTTTCGGTGGTGAGTCAGGTCAACCAGAACTACATTCGGGAGATGCGAGGTGATGATCCTTTGTTTGTCTCACCAAATCGAGTGTTCTTGGGTGCTCCTGGCACCGGAAAGACAACAGTCGCAAAGCTCTATGGTAGGCTCTTGGCAGATTTCGGTCTCCTCTCAAAGGGAGATGTCATTGTCAAGAGTCCAACTGACCTTCTGGATCGCTATATCGGAGGATCCGAAAACAACACTAAAGAGGCATTGCGTGAGGCCAAGGGCAATGTTCTGATCATTGACGATGCCCATATGCTCGACCCCGGTACGAGCAGCAGTGGTACAACCAAGAACGGCGACTTCCGGGGTGCCATCATCGACACCATCGTCGCCGAGGTGTCTGGAGCTCCTGGAGAGGATCGATGTGTCATTCTCTGTGGATACCCGGAGCAGATGAAGGAGATGTACGCCAACGCTAACCCCGGCCTGGCACGAAGATTCCCTCTGGACACAGCGTTCGAGTTTGAGAACTTTAGCGAGGAGACCCTTGGCAAGATCTTGGATCTGAAGATGACCAAGGAAAAGCTTGTGGCCACAGACAAGGCTCGCGAGGTTGCTATGGAGGTTCTGAAACGGGCCTCTGTGCGACCCAACTTTGGTAACGGTGGTGAGGTGGATAACCTCCTCTCCAAGGCCATCTTGGCTCGTCTACGCCGCGTAGCCAAGGAGAAGCCGGAGGAGGACGACCTGGACGCCCTTCCCCTCGAGCCTCAGGATTTCGATGCCGACTATGACCGTCTGTCACAAGCAGTCTCTAATACCAGGGCCCTCTTCGACGGCTTTGTCGGTTTCGAGGAGATCATCTCCAAATTCGAGTCATACCAGTACATGGTTCAGGGCATGCGACTGCGCAAGGTTGATCCACGGCCCTACGTGCCCTTCACGTACGTCTTCAAGGGACCACCAGGTACTGGTAAGACAACGACGGCGCGAAAGCTGGGCCAAATCTTCTATGATATGGGCCTGCTTTCAGCCCCCGACGTTGTAGATGTCTCGGCTTCACAGCTCATCGGCGAGTACTGCGGACAGACAGGACCCAAGACTCGCCGTCTTCTCGAGTCGGCTCTGGGCAAGGTGCTCTTTATTGACGAGGCGTACCGACTGGCAGGTAGCCGTGGATCCTTCGCCGAGGAGGCCGTGAGCGAGTTGGTGGACGCCGTGACGAAGCCGCAGTTTGCCCGCAAGCTGATCATCGTCCTGGCCGGATACGAGGAGGACATGGATCGTCTCCTTCGCAGCAACCAGGGCATCAAGAGTCGATTCGCAACTGAGCTCACCTTCCGACCTCTTCGAGCCGAGCAGTGCATTGAGCAGCTTCGCGCGGTTGTTGGAAAGGTTGGCATCACGATCCAGCAGACACCAGAGATGGATACCATCACACGGACATCTCTGTTCTCTCTCCTTCAGCGTCTCAGTAATGACAAGGGCTGGGCTAGCGGCCGCAGTGTCGAGACTCTGGGAGAGCGGCTGATTGGGCACATCTTCAAGGAATGCGCAATGAAGGGTTACACTGGCAAGGAACTGAGCGTCTCTGGACGGGAGCTGGTGACGATCCTGGGGCAGACATCAGGCGTACCGTACGCGGGCGTCAAGATGAGAGGCGGGCAGATCCCGATGGGAGCCAAGGTGATGACGCTGAAAGACCTAGAGAAATCTGATTAAGGGCGTTTTATGAAAAGAGCGGTTTTAGGAGCGAGATTGGGTTTCTTTTTTTTCTTGAGAGATACGCATACGACGGACGGTTTTATTATGATCTAGGAGCATGCATCAAGAGCTGCGAGTTATGATGGATGGATGGATGGATGAGCATGAGAGTTGGGCGGAGTTTTGGAGTTTCGTCCGCACTCCTCTCGATAATTTGAATAATTTCAGCGGTAGCGAGACTTTTATGATATCAATGACTTTTTATATTTATATTGATGAATGCGGTCCATGGTGAGTAACTATCTCGTCTCTGTAGGACAGTTGAGTTGACGAAACTCATACCTATCGTACAGCTTGGCTGGGGTATAGTAATGAGATGTTGGGGAATGTATAGTCAGAGTAACAGACATGTTTGACTCCGACCAAAGTGATGCTGATGGCTTATTCATGGTCGAGCGTAACGCTCTCTCTTAAGCGGCTCGGCCCATGACCCTGAGTACTACTCGGTGTGCCCCTCCCAGGACTATCATCCTTGTCCGTTTTGGACGTCTTGGATGCTCTGATCTCAATAGCGATAGAAGTCCTCCTCTGCCGCTTTAAGCCATTGCTCAGGGGAGGAGGGGTTGTCGTGGATGTAGATGAAGTTCGGCTCGACCTGCTTTGACTCCGGGAAGTTCGTGAGCGAGGGAGTTCCTCGACGTTGATCGAAGTTCCTGGACCAGGGGTGATCTCTTCAACTTTAACAGCTGGAGATATGTCTACACCTGGTCGAGTAGGAGCGGCGGTGCCACGGCCCTCATCTAAAAGACTTTGCGCCCATGCTTCGCGGAAGACGGCACCTAGACTGACGGCAACTTCACGAGCAACGCTGTTTCCAACGACACGGTACTGATCAGGAGGAGAGCCGAGTATGACCTCGTGATCGCGGAAGCCCTGAGCGCGCCGGGCCTCCATGATGGTGAGAACCCGGTCCTCCTGCCAGTGCAGTGTACGACCGTTCTTGGCATCGCTGGGGCTTTGACTTGTTACGACGGTCTCGATGAGACGATCGGGACGCTGGCGACCGTAGGCGTTGGACCAGGGGTTGGAGCGGCTCAGGGAGCTGGCCGAGTCGGCGGGGAAGACGAGGCGCTCGGCCGGGGTGAGGACGCCCGTGCCGGCCTTTTTGCGGTCCGGGCCGTACCAGGCCTGGGCAAAGTTCATGCCGTAGGGACGCGTGGGTATAAGCTTAATTTTGTTGCGGAGCCCTCTCGTCGCACCGAGGGAGATGCGATGATCTGGGAAGGGGATGCATATGTCGGGTTTGGAGTCGTAGACGGGGGGAAGATCAGCGGTTGCAGCCTGGGCAGACACAAAGTCGAACGGGGTGGCTGAGGGTATTATACGTTCAGCCATGGGTTCACCAGTGGGTAGGTTACCCAGGCCGAAAGAGTTGGTATGAGGAGGGTGAGCATGAGTTGGATTAGGTCGACGAGGAAGACGATGACCAGGGGCAGCAAAGGCGAGAAAGACTCTGGCACGACGCTGAGGAGAACCACAAGCCGAAGCGTCAAGAAAGAAGAAGTGAGTCTGGTATCCGAGACCTACTATGGCGCAGATCAACTGGCTAAAGACGTCCTGGTCGCGGTTCGACTTGCGCTGCACGATGCCGGGGACGTTCTCCAGAAGACCGTACCTCGGACGGTACAGGTCGATGAAGGAGCCAAAAGCAGCGACGAGGGACTGGTTCTTGCGCTGGGTTATCGTGGTCTTGTCGTTTGTGAGGAGTGAGAAGCCTGGACAGGGGCTGCCGCCAGAGATGAAGTCGACATCACCGACCAGAGGGACATTGTTGGCGAACTCTCCTTGGATGGCTAATCGCTGGAGCTCGTCGATAGAGCCGAGAAAGGGGGAAACGGCCCCGGGACCTGCCGTGTTGGCCATGTATGTGTGCATAGCCTTTTCGTTAAAGTCATTTGCCCATCGCATCTCAATGCCACCTCCGTCTTCAAGTCCGCGTCCAAAGTTTCCACCGCCGCAGAAGAGATCCAGACCCCGCAGTCGTTGAATGGGTTCAGATGGGTCGAATCCTTGTTTGAGCGTAGTAGGAAACGTTTCGAGAGGAACACATGTCCGAGTTCCAGCGCCTTCGTCGTAGACCTCCTGATGTGTGATATAAAAGAAGCCTCCCACTCCGTTTCGATCATAAGGTGCAGTAATCTTTTGCCCAGCCTTGAAAAATCGCACGAAACATGGTTCCAGAATGCGACGTCTTTTCACCTCGACCAGGTTCTCACTATACACCAACTCGTTCGGTCGAGCATTCGGTGCTTTGGGATCAACTTGCCCCCTCCTTAGCAACTGTCGGAACCTGTAGATGTCACTGTAATCCTCCTCGTACGAGGCCACAAACTCGCATGGCTCAGAACGACCGCTGTGCTTGTCTAGGATGACAAGCCGTGTCTCTCCAGGTTCAAACTCTGGAGCCTTGGGGGCCGTTGTTGTGTGAGAACAATAGAGGTGGTCGTTCTCTAAAGTAATCCACTTGCGCTCAGCGCATATATACGTTTGACGACAGAAGAACTCGGCGGTTGTGGCCGATGTTCCTCCAAACTCGACATTGTGCACGCCCAAAACCTCGCTCTCGCGGATTTTTCTTGTTTCGCCACAAGAGCAGTGGTCTGAGAGGAACAGCTCGTTGTTCCACGGATACTTCATCAGGCCGCACAAGGTGTCAACAGGTCTGTAGTACCAGATAACATCAAAGGATCGACGGCCACGCTTATCCGTGTGTACTCGCTGAACCAGTGCTAACCAGCGATCAACGTCGTGAAACCCATGTGCGATATCACGTCGCCACATGGTGCCCGACTCTTCATCATCTCGCTCCGTCGAAATGGTGTCTCCCGGCTGTATGTCACGAATCTGCTGCGTCTCAGCTGTCGATATGTCCTTCGCGGTAGTGTGAAGCGGCGCAGGGAGTTCAAGATGGCGCTTCCGAATCAGTTGATTGCGTATGGCTTTCGTCTTGTCGCTCAAGGGCATGGCCTCGAGGCGGTCGCCAAAGGGGAGGTGAGAGAAGCAGTCGTACATGTACTGCGTGACAATCGTGGGCGGACTGTCTTTGTTCTGGTTGTTGTTCTTTGTGTCTGTAGGCGTCTGGTCCTCAGTTTGCCCGTCAAGACTACTCTCAGTTGGCGACTCGTTTTCAACTTGAGACTTTCTCTTCCTCCTCTGGTGACCATTCTTCTTCTCCTCTGGTGGAAACTTCTGATACTGTCTGAACTCCCAGATCTCAGCCCACAGACTGTGCTTATACGTCTTGCTGGCTCCCAGCACACCGATGGCCTCTTTATGAAGAAACCCCAAGTTGGCCACGACAGCTGTTCGAAAGTCGTCACTTGGGAATCGCTTCCTCCATGCGACAAAAACGGGCGCCTTGCCATGTGTCTTGGCTAGCCAGCTGCTAAACGTCGCACGGAAGTGAAAGATTGTCACGTCGAGACGACTCTCGCCCATCACCTTAAGATAGTCGACGAAATGCTTGGCCAGGTCCGCCACCCACAGAAACGGGTTGAAGAAGCGCTGGTATTCTTTGGCTGGACGGTTCAAACGGTAGTAGACCTCGCGTGCCGAGTTGAAGGTTGACTGAAGCCAGATCTTGTCGCGGACCGTGTGCTTGGACAGAGTACCGTAGTTGTCAATAGGGAGCGCAGCAATGCGTACTCGACGCACGAAGAAGGCTTTATCGCCAACGCTGAGCCTTCCATCAAAAAAGAAGCCGCCAAAGCCCATCTTGGTATCGAGATTGTGCAAAGAGCACATCTCTTCGGGATATTTGGGACGATCGCAATAGATGGCAAAATCGTCAAGCTGAAACTCGACAAAGTCATCGATATCCTGGCCGGCCTGTTTTGCAGCCTCGAAGAGAGTATCGAAAGCTATGCGCTCTCTGACAATCGGCACATCAGGCTCGAATGGTTCGTAGCATGACCGCGGTATGAGGAGCAAACTCTCCGGAAGCTCGACTCTCACTGTCTTGCTGAGTGGCTGTGGCTTGCTGGGCAGCTGTATATCTGGCGTTTCTGAGTCTTCCGCTTTGACCTCTATGAGCTCTTCGAGTGGAGGTTTCGTCTCATCAACGGCTGGAGCAACGTCTTCATCTTCGACATCTGGCTCAAGGGCTTGGAGCAGCTCATCATCGATACCATCGAAGAGGCCACCCTCAGGGCTTGGATAATAGTTTGGCGGACTTTCCGGTAAAGGACCCGGCAAGAGATCGATATCCTCCAGCGGGGTCATGCGCTCCTCTTGTTCCAGCTCGCCAAACTTGGTCCATACCGCAGGCGCGTCTTCAGGGAGAGCAACCGGAGGTTCTTGATGGCCAAAGGCGTTTCCAAAGACATGATCGAATGAGTGCCTTTGTCCCAGAGGTGAGTGCCAGTCAATGTCGTGGGTATCCAACACTGGATGAATGTCTAACCCGTCATCTCCCAGGTCTAACGGCTGATGTAACGTTAGAGCCATGTCGTCTTGTAAAGGGGCAAGGGTCTCACCGGCATATTGAAGTGTGAAGCTCATGCTATCGCATATACATGGCTGTCTGTGGATGCTGAAATGAAATGACTGTGTAGGAGGAAGGTGTTTGCAAGCGACGAGAAAATCTAGCTCAACCTGAAAGTGGCTTGTATATAAAACTCGACACGCGCTTTGATAAGGAGAGGGAAGCAGTTGCTCGTCTTCTCTCAGCCCGAACCTTTTCTGATCTCAATAACGCCAGTAAAATGAGTTGCGATGCTTAGACAAAGATGTCAATTCCCTCGAGATTGGCACGCAAGAGCAAGCAATTTTCGACAATATTTGTCCTTGACACGCGCTTGGCACTTGCGGCGCGTAGATCGCGGTAGCCACAACAACACCTCTTCTCTTTGTAATGACCAAAAGAAACCAGGGTCTATAGTGAGAATAATGAAATGTTCCACGACTCTGAAGAATGAAGAAAATGAATTTGAGGCCGTAATTTGAGTCGCGTTTCTTCGAGGCGAGGCGAGCTGAGGATGTAAAAGACGTGAGGATTTTGGTTGCAGGGGACGTGCCATAGAAAAATATTGGGTCCTAAGCCCATTGAGTTCTGTGGAGGCCCTAAAGAGGTTTAGCGCAATCAAGGTCTCTAGCTGTTTTTAGTCATGGTTCAAGGCAGCAAGCAACCACCATCGCATCTATCGCCTCTTCATGAGAGAGGATCTGATATCACATAGCATCACATCTTCTCAGGTTTGTGCCAATTGAAAGGAGCAAAGCCATTCTATTACAGCTTTTCATGATGTAACTCAAACATATGCACCGGCCGTTATCTCTAGTGGTATCTTCCATGTCCCAGAACTCCTTACAATGCAAATCATGATAAGCCAATAACTTATACCTCTTAACGACGTCGTCGGAATCTGCTGTTGTATCCTGGTCCGCCCTTGGCACCGTGATTCTTTAGCTTCAGGCGCTGGAAGTTTGCATGAGCTAGCTCATTGACCTTTCGAGCAGCCTTCTTCACCGTGCCCTCCTTCTTAGCCGCAGGCTTCTTCTTGGGCTTCTCCAAATCAAATTCGCTATCGTCGTCGGCGGCCTGCGTCTCAGGAACGAAATCATCGTTCTCCACATCACTTCCAGGACCCTCGCCCAAGTTGGCTGGTCTCTGCGTTCGGATCGGGCGCATCTTGACCAGTCTCGTCGTTCGCTTCTGGCCCTTCTTCTTGTATGTTCGCATGGGTTGGCCATCGCGACCAACTTGATCCTCCGTTGGGCTGTCGTACATGCCCTCATCATCGAATCCGCCAAGAGGCAGTTGGCGTGTTTGGGTGTCTGCAACGAGCACATCGTCCTTCGGCTTGGGCGGGAACAGAGTTTTCGGCTTCGGTTCGCCCGACTCTTCATTTTCCATCTCTCTCAATGCGTCCAACTCGTCATCCAAGTTCTCCTCCTCCACCTTTCGAAGGCTGGCAACAATCTCGCTTAGCCCCCTTGTGAAAGGCTTGCGTGGCAACCGCAGGGGCGCTGGGGCATCAAAGTCGTCGTTCTCGTCGAGGACCGGAAGGGAATTGCGCTTCAGGAAAGCCGGTGTGTCAAACTGAAGCTTCGAGACTGATGAGGGTGTGACAGCGTCCACGTTTCCATCACGGTTCTTCAGGGGCGTCATGAAGTGGTTCAACCTTTGTCGCTTGCTAGACGACATAGGTGTCCGACCAAGCTTGTCGCTGGCCTCTTCGTCCATTGGGGTTGATCGCTTAGTCGGGGTCGCATCGACCCTGTTTCCGGTTCCTGTCTTGGTTGCAGAACCTGACTTTGTTGGTGTTCCTAGCTCTTTCTCCACCAGCAGATCAAATAGTCCAAGGACACGCCCATCTCGCTGAGGTGTTGGGCCTACCGAGGTAACCGACGCTGGACTGAACAGTTTCCGTGAAATGGCAGGTGTGTTCATGAGATCTTCATCGTGGTCCTGGATCCTGTTCTTCGCCGGAGTCTCGATGTTCTTGGTGCGCTTGGTAGGTGTCTCTGCGGGAAGGGTATCTGGCTTGCGCTTCCTTGGCTGCGAGGCGTCCTTGGCGGATGGCGGCAACTTGCCTGAGAGGATGTCGCGGAGCTTGTTGTATTGCTTGTATTTCAAAGCTGTTGAATCGTCAGTGCCATGCTCTGACTTTCTGCTCATGTTTCGTACCGATTTCCTGGTTCGCTTTGATGTCGCCCCTTCCTGGCTTCTTGCCCTTGTGCGCCTTTGCCCAGCTAGTCTCCCACGTCTTGAGGTCGACACGCAGCTGCTGCGATTGAGCTTCGTATTCGGCTTTTGTCTGTTCATCCATCGCGATTCGATTGTGGTTTGTGTATGTGTGGAAGAAAAGGTGAAAGTATGAAGAGGGAGAGGGGGGAGGTATGTGGGTAGTTATGGTGGATTATCGCGGTATGGCGTAAACGCGTGTTGACGCGAACCACTCAACACGAAAATGACAGGGGTAGGCGGGTTTAACGTCATGGCGGTGCAGGGAAGACGCGGGACCCTCGGGCCCACCCGAGAAGTTCCTGTGACTCTCTGGCTCTAGAACCACGCGCCAGGCCAGCGGGTACAAGGCACTTTCGGACGTTTCTTTCCCCACGTCCGGGTACATATTTCTAATTCACCCATCCACGACATGGATCTTCACAACTTCAACCTCGAACCTTCAACCCCAGGGTCGTTGGGTCGTTTCATCGCAGCGCACGAGTTATTGCAACTCTCCCACATCTCCCTACTCCCGCCATGGAGGCAGACCAGTCAAGCGACGACCTCGAACGCCAAGTCCTCCAAAGCACGCTCGAGGAGATAGCGACCACTCAAGAAGATGCCGTCGAATGCTGCGTCATCTGCCTCGAGGGCATCACCGAGGCCTGCGAGGTAGTCCCTTGCCAGCACCGAAACTTTGACTACCTGTGCCTCCTCAGTTGGCTCGAGCAGACGCCGAAATGCCCTCTTTGCAAGGCAACCATCTCTCAAGTTCGCCACGCCCTGGATGAGCCTGTGCCTAAGACCTACATCGTCCCGAAATCTTCTCCGAAGCCGCAGAGCCAGCGATCTGATGCGAGGCCATATTCCTTATACTCCGTTCGCAGGAATTTACCCCGGCGACGTCGGTATTCACGACCCCGCTATGAGACACCCCCGAACCCCTCGGACGAGATCGCAAGGCGCCGGGACGTTTACCGTTATAATCGCTACTCAAAGCATGTTGGATCGAACCGTCTTTCTCGTTACAGAGAGTTGACACCGGCGGCGTTCTGCGCAGATGCTGAGCTGGTGTCGCGCGCACGAATGTGGATTCGAAGAGAGCTTCAGGTCTTTTCGTTTCTTGCCCCCGATAACGAAGAGCCTCGACCTGGAGATGGCAATGCTAGGACTGCCGTGGACAGGCGGAGGGCGAACAATGCCGAGTTTCTCCTCGAGTACATCATTGCCGTGTTGAAGTCAGTCGACATTATGGGAAGTGCTGGTCAAGCCGAGAACATGATTTCGGAGTTTCTGGGACGAGACAGCACACGATTATTTTTGCATGAGCTGAGGGCTTGGTTACGGAGTCCTTTTACAAAACTTGCGGACTGGGATCGAGCTGTTCAGTATGACCAAGTTTCAGCGGGAAGCAGCCGCGGAAGTGAACCAGGGCCGGATGTTAGGCAAAGGCATCGTCAAGCCAATGCTGAACACGATAAGAATTTGGGTACTACTAGACGACATGGCGACTTTTATAGACCTCGTGGAGGGCGTTCACAAAGATCATCTTCACATAGACATGAACCTTATGATAGACGAAGGAGCGGAGTGGAGCGGAGTTGAGCGGAGGGCATGACTGGAGTTTGGATGAAAGATAGATATGATACCCAGGGAGCAAATCCCACCTGCATGAATAAGGCGAATCTCACTACGTATTCTACTTAAATGTTAGCCTAGTTGCTGCCCCTTTTCGCCTTGGACGCGTATTCCTCAATGGGCGGAACTCCGCCCGTTTAGTGAGGCTATTCATATTCCGCGACGGACTTTCCGGAGACAGGCTGTGATAGAAGGAAATTTAAATAGGCCCTGTTTTCATCTCGAGCCATCTCTAAACTACTCATTTCAATCATCTCTACTCTCAATCACATCCTTGATCACAGCAACGCCGCGTCAAACTTGCACTTACACCACAACTTACACACCAGCATTAAAGATTCACAATGCCCACCATCTCTATAACCGCCATCTCAGACCCCGTCTGTCCCTGGTGCTACATTGGTGCCATCCGTCTCACCCGCGCCATATCCCTCTACCGCAAGACCGTGTCCTCCAGCGATGTCGTAACCACATCGTGGCACGCGTACCAACTCGACCCTCACACCAAGACGCAGCCGATGCTCGAAAAGATGGCATCCAAAGTCGGCGAAGAAAAGGTACCCGAGTTCAAAGCACGACTAGGAGACATTGGGAAGCGCGAGGGTCTAATCTTTGACTTTGGGGGTACGATTGGGAATACTAGGGATGCGCATCGGTTGGAAAAGTTGGCAAAGACAAAGGATGAGGTGGATTTGCAGACGAGGGTTGCTCTGGAGGTGATGAAGATGTATTTTGAAGAGGGAAGCAATATCACGAGCATAGATGATCTTGTGAAGGCCGCTGGGAGGGCTGGTATTGATGAGGGTGAAGCGAGGGCTTGGTTGGAGAGTGATAATGGAGGGGAAGAGGTTGATGCTGAGGTGCTTGAGATGCAGAAGTTGGGTGTCAGGGGTGTGCCACGGTATATCATTAATGGCAAGTTTATGATCGATGGAGCTGAGGATGTGGGAATATTTCTGGAGCAGATGGTTCTGGCGAGGGAAGAGGCTCTCCGGGAAAGTCAGTAGACTGCATCATGTACATGTATCTTATAGACCAGGAATAGGCGGTGTTTGTGTCAACAACTTCATATCTCATAAGGGTATCATCTCATCTAATCTCACACCTCACACCTCACATCCTCATCAACCCACCCAGATCCTTCTCCATCTGTCTTAACCTCGCCTGTAGTTCCCTCTTCTTAACCTCCATCTGCCTCGCCTCCTCCTCCTCCCTCCTCAGATCCTCCTCCGTCCATACCTCACCCCCCTCTTCCTCCTCTTCCTCATCATCATCGCCGAGCCAGTCCCTGTCATCCAGCGTCGCCAGCTTCTCGGCTTGCTCGGCTACTCGTGCCTCGTAGTATGCCATCGTGTTCTTGCCGTGGGCTTGTTTGCTCTTCAACGCGGCGATGCGTTCCCTTGCGCCTGGTAGTTCGTACACGCCGCAGAGCTTCTCAGCCCCACGAAGAAGAACATTGACATCTACATCACCCTTGCGATCCATCTCCCCGCGACGCAGCTCCTCGTGCATCTGACCACCTAGTACGGCCGCTACAGCTGTCTGACGTCGAGGATGGCCTGCGCCGGCTCGTTGAGGAGGACCCGTAGTCACTTCTCCAGAAGCCACATTGAACACAGTCTGTCGCCTCCCCGTCGACTTTTTCGTTTCAGGCTCTGTAGGCTTGAGGGCTGTCGAGGGCGGGGGAGGCGGGGGTACAGAGAAGAGGGCGCGCTCGTGGGCTTCGGTGTCGCGGATGAGGGAGGTGATGTCGTGGTTGGAGAGAAGGGCGTTGGTGAAGATCTTTGGCCGAGGGAAGCTGTACATGGTTAGTAATGGTTCAAACTAGGAGTATTGAGAACCTACGGGAGGGAATCGATGCCTTGGCACGAGTAGCCAATCTGCTCGAGATGAGCTGAAATGAGGGACATGGTGGCTTGTTGTCGGATTCGGTGACAGGCCGTTTGGTTTCTCGGGTGCAAGTCTATGAGATTTGGGTTTGAAGTCGGGATTCAAGGCAACGGAATGTGCTCGAGCGGTGGAATAGATCCCTGAGAGAGGTTGTGATGGTTCGAGATGGTCGTGTTGATCTATGGTGGAGTTTCAAAACAATCAAGGTGGGCAGCTTGCTTATCGATAAGCACCCCTCCTTCACCGGCGTCGTCACTACACAATGCCCACTTATACCTGGCTTGGGCTTGGGCTTGGGCTTAGCTTAATCACAAACAATTAAACAAATAAACAATTGAAGACTAGATTGTATTGGTAAAATCCTCCAATCATTTGAACTAGTTTTATTGTAGTCATCGTGACAAGATCTGGCTGTGAAACTATTAGTTGTCATGTTGCCTGCATCAGTGCTGTGCTTATAAGTCTCTGTCAAGACCACCTCAATTGGTGACGCATTCTATTATAATTGATACAAAGTCCTGTTCTTGTTAATTATTACATGTTCATTCGAAAGGTATAGTTGGCCGTATATCATATCCCACATTCCGCGTATGTCCATCATCCTCAACAACACACAGCCGCGCTCAGTTCGCACCACCCTGAGGTTCAAGACAATCCAGTCTATAAAACGTCCACGATGCTCTGAAAACAGGTCTAAACTTGGCCTGCTCAAACGACCCTGACCACAGCTCACATAGCTGCTCCACAGGGTTGAATGCAAACATGGCACAGCCCTCGGTCTCTTTGCAGAACGCGTAGCAGCCCGCATAGTTGTCATAACCCGAAAATTTGCCAATCTTTGTTCCTGAAGAGTTTGTGTCGCCGTCGAGGCCCCATCCTGGCTTCGCGCAAGTATCCTTTCTATCGTTGGCAAGGCATGAAGTCGAATAGTAGTACCACTCAGCTCCGGGGGTGTTGTCGACGCCAATCTGCTCCAGCGTGCCCTTCCACGTTTCGCACTTGTTGCGTGTTGGGTTATACGCAAGAGTAGCGCAATCGCTCTGGGACTCGCATATGGCGAGACACTCATCGAGCGTCTTGTCGTCATATGCCTGGATCTTGACTTCTGCAAGTTTGTCATCCGAAAGGTCGTGGCCGGCACCGCCGAGGACTGCGCATTCTTCAGTGCGGATTGGTTCACTAGAGGTGGTTGTGGTTGAGATTTCTGTGCTGGAAGACTCGACAGTCGAAGACTCGGCTGTGGAGGTGGCACTTGTCAACATCTCTGTGGTTCCCGTGCTGGTCAAGGTCACAAATGTCGAGCTCGACACATCCGTTGAAGTCATCGTAGTGCCAGTAGAAGTCTCGGTAAAGGTCTCAGTTGACGATGTGACCAAACTCTCTGACGAAGACAAAGAAGTCTCGGAAGAAGAAGCCTCGAGAGCGGTGCTTGATGTAGCTGTCAAAGACGTTGTAATCTCAGCAGAAGTCTCAGTAGATGATGCCACCAACGTCTCCGAAGCGCTGAAAGAAGTCTCAGTTGAAGTAGCCGACGAGGTTAAACTTGAAGTTAGAGAGGCCTTGGGTATACAAGGA